GGGGGGGGGGGAGTGGGAAAGACGGAGGAGGGACGAGGGATGGAAGAAAGAAGGAAAAGGGAAAGAAAATAGTCGACAACAATAACAAGAGTTGGCGATCGCGGGGCTCTTACTTACTTACTTTTGTTGACAGTTGCAATTTGCAGGGGGGAGGAGGAAGGGAAGAAGGAGGGGAGGGAAAGAAAAAGAGCACAGAAATGCAAAGACTTGATTAAGAAAAAAAAACAAAATCTAGGAAAGGCAGAAGACACAAGCACAAGAGGAGGTAGATATCGTAGTAGTCGTAGCAGTTGTAGCAGTAATGATGGGAGGATGATGGGATGGATGATGGATGATGGATGCGATGGAATGTCAATTCATGGAAGCCAGTCCAGTCCAGTCCAGTCCAGGTCAGGTCAGCTCAGGTCAGCTCAGTCCATTGAGGTCTGGCAAGGCCATCAATCCATCAATCCTCATCAATCAATCCATGCGGTCAATCGGGAAACGGACCACGGGTTGAGTGAGACAGACTGAACGGACTAGTACGGAGTAGTCCGAACGAGCGACAAGAGAGACAAGAAAGACGGCCTCCCCGTGGCGATGATGAACCAATGTAGTTAACATACTGTAACTCCCCCTCCCCCCCCCTCGTGTCCACGGTCTCTTGCTCTCTTGCTTTTTCCGACCCAACGACTACTTCCTGCATATACTTCAATTAGCAACCACTACTAAATATCGTCGTATCAGTTGGCAGCTTGTCCACAACATCACATCTTCAATGTATGATCAGGACTGAAAGGGTCATTTGAATACCCAAGTCATGTGCGTTGATTGGTATGATTGGTATGGGCGGAGGAATCTCGTTTGGTTTCTTGACCGCCCGAGGAATCCGATTCATAACCGGAATAGTTGCTGCCTTGCATTCTGAGGCATCACTCCCGCCTCCTCGTGACATCCTCCCATATCTATACAAGATCACCTCCTCCTACCCACAAAATGATTCTTGAGACTCTCTTATGCATTACATTCACGCGGACCAACCCGAAAATCAACCCGAAGAAAAATACAGCACCCACGGCCTCATAACCACCATCACGGATACTTTCAACATGCATAGATCGGCAATAATCCCTACAGAGAAGACTACTCCCACCATTTTGACCAGCTACCCGTTCTGAAGGGATAGATTGGGTTTATGACGCCACACTCATGGTCTCGCGGGCGGGAGATGGTCGCTCCCCTTGCTTGCGTCAGCTCTGCTGATACTCCACAACTGTATCGCAATGGTCATCTGCCACCCGCCTTCCACCTTGCCATTATGATTCACCTCCAACACCACAAGATGTACATCCGCTCAATGCCTTGACAATTTGAGCAAGAATACCACTGCGAGAGTTGAAGTCGCAGCACAACACGCCTTTGTAAAGCATAGAGTGGTATGATGACTTTGAAAGAGGAATCACTCCGACCTCTTTGCAATGCGCGGAAGAGACGCCCAGGCCACAAGCATCACTCCATACAGTCCGATACAGATCGGATGCAGAACGTAAGTGCCCACATTCTGGGCCAACAAACCTGTAAAGAAGGGTGACGCGGCTCCCCCGCTGCTTCCCAGTGCACTAATGAAACTCAAGCTCGACGTCTGCATCGACCGGGGCAGCAACTTGCTGAATACCGCAGTGGCGCAAGGGTAAACGGGGCCCAAGAGAAGACCCACGATCGCGACAGCAACGGCGTCCCCGATGATGTTCGGAATGAGCCAGGTCATAAGCTGAAATGCGATGGACCCGAGCACAAGGAGAATGACAGAAAGCTTTTCCCCAATAAAGTGGGCGGGATGCGATAAAAAGAAGCGTCCGAGAGTAATGCCAGCCCAAAAGCCGGCACTGACATAACCGACGTGTGACGGATCTCCGTGACGATAACTGATGAGGAACGACACTACCCATCCAGAGATTGAGACCTCGGCGCCCTGATAGGCAAAGATAAACAAAGCCCCAAGCAGGGTCGTCTTGTCCTTGACCACTTGCTTGAGGAGACGGCTCCGGCTCACGGAGTCGCCGCCGTTCGCTTGTCGGGATGCAGTCTGCTGTAACGCGCCCAGGAGCTGTGCTGGAAGCTCTTTCTCATAATTCGAGAACGACCATACAGCAAAGGCCAGGTTGAACAACGATAGCGCGAGATTAATGCTGTAGAAAAGGGACCAACGAACTCCATGCGATGCCATAGCAGTAGCCACAAGCGGTCCCACTACGCCACCAACCCCATAGGACCCATGAAGACCACCCAAAGCCGCGGTACTGTTGGCGAGGTTCGCGCAGTAAACATTGTTCAACGCCAGGCAGACAGCCATCCCCAGTCCAAGAAGGAAGAAACTTGCAACGACCGCAGGAAATGGAGGTTTGCAGATGATGATCACGAATCCGGCCACCAGCAAGCTCATGGATAGAGCATAACACTTGGCGCGGCCAAGCTTCATTTCCAGTGGATGTGTGACCAAGGCTGCGAGTATGAAGCCAAGGGCATTGGTAACGAAGATCAGAGATACGACCGCATAACCGATACTGTAATCTTTCTCCATGTAAGGGATCAAAGCACCAGGGGCGCTGTCGTTCAATCCCTGCGCAAAATTCATCAAACAGGTACTCAAGAAGCGCCATTTGGTCTTCGATGGGTTGCTGAAAGTCGGAGCCGGACCGGAAGCCTCATTTTCTCCAGGAGAGGCTGAGTGACTTTCAAGTTCACCCGGGGTGATGGAAGTCTGCACATCGGTGGCAGTATTCGATGATACACCGGTGACAGGCTGTTGGCGCCCTTGCTGTAGCTCCACCAATTCATGATCGGATGGGGTATGTGCGATGCCTTGCTTATCTCGGCGCACAACGGCAGCAGGACTGGCGATAGAAGCTGAGCTCTGGAACTCTACCAGTGCGCCAAAAGCCGAGGCTGACATGTTGCAGGGTTCGGGTGAGCAAGGGCACGTTAGACTAAGCTCTGTACTTGGCTGGATCACAAACACGTTCTGATCGACCGTCCCCCTTGGCCGTCCGCTCAGTGGTCTTTTGTAGCAACGGCAATGGACTGACTAAGTCTTCTGGGGCCCCGCCAGCTGATAAATCGTAGTCCATCGGCTAAAGTGGTATAGGAATTCAAATCCCGAGAGCCAATCAGGCTCATGGAAGTCCGTGGACATGACATGTTCCCTTCACACGGTCAGCGGTCGCCAGAAGGCGCGGGCCAGTAGCAATGCGGAGTCGGTCAGCCTTTCTTCCACTCGACCGGTACAGTACATCCAGCAAGCTCACGCTGGTCTTGGCTCGACTTTATGTGTTGGACCCTGCTGGCACCAAGGCTCTTCTTGGCTCTGCACGGGAATCTGAACATGACTCGTAACGATACTATATGACTGGCCAGATAGTCTGCATGCTGTGATGACGGAGGGTGGATTGAACACGGAGTGGATAGCAGCTGGCTTTGCATGTGAAAACTTCAGCAGCAGGCAGATGTAACCATGTCAAGATCGAGTGTGGACAATGGCGCGTCGGGGAAATTATCGACGCGAGTGAAATGCGCAGAGATACGGAGCCGCTTCTTCGAATTGACAGCGCATTCATGCATGGTAGAAAGGATAGTTGAATGAAAAGACTGGAGAGTGCGTGGGTGCGTTGTGCATTCCTTGCATTCCGGGGAAAACAGTCAATTGCCGAATCGGGCAAGACCCACTTCCCCCTCCGCACTGGGGAATTTCCTCAACTCGGAAAAAAAAAATCTTTGGGTTCCATCAGAGCTTCCGTCATCCACTTTGGTTCTCCATTACGGATATCGTCACCTCTTTGGCCGTTCAAAGTCGCCTGCATCCTATTCACATTGAAAACATCAGCCCGGTTGCCCTTAGCAGTTACAGCATCAATTGATCAATATGGGCCCTCCTCGGCGCAAGGTACTCGCCACGGCGGAAGAGACGATGGTCCCGCCGGACGAGCTTGCCCAGGGACATTTAATTACGCGGGTCATCAAAGCTACCGGAAACAACATCTACCTGGTTGAGACGCCATCCAAGGAGTCGGCCCTGGTCGAATTGCCTTCGCGATTCCGTTCGACCATCTGGATCAAGCGGGGATCTTACGTGGTGATCGACACCAATGCTCTTGAGGGCCGCGACAACAAGCTGAAGGGCGAGATTATCAACATTGTCCGGGATGAGAAGGCATGGCGCAAGGCTCCATTCTGGTTGGTTCACCCACATGGGGAGTGCTTTGGATTACTATTAATGCTGTTGCAGGCCCAAGGAATTCACCAAGCAAGTTGTTGCTGCTTCGGACGACGAGGAATCTGAGGAGGAGTCTAATGTTGGTAAACTGCCGCCTTCGGACGACGAGTCTGATGCATGATCATGCTCTTCCCATTGGGAATAGTCTCAACGCTTGGAGACCCCTGATGCGTTATCGCTCTAGTCGCAGTTTGGCGGACGAGCGTTGATCCGACCCGGCTTTCCCGGACACTTTACGACAGACTCTAGCACCAACGCACCAGTCCCGGACGCTCATAAGTCTTCGGATCCGATTATTCATTTCATTGAATATGCTCCTTTCTGCCCTGCTTCGCATGCGTAGCGGCGAAGGCGTTGGTGCTATTTGCGAGAACGCCAAGGACTTGAATCGCAAGGGAGAGGACGACAACGATGGAACTCGTGTTGGTGCTTGGGTATGTGTTCCACGACCATTCCTGAGCTGCCCAAACGGCGCACAGCAGAACGGGGTGGAGGCCTGCCTGCCAGAGAAGGAACGGCGTGGCCCAGGAGAGATAGGCAAAGAACTGGTAGTGGAGCGACCTTGCACATAATAGACCAATCGCAAGCGATGACAGCAACGCGGTCATGATATACGATTTGGACAGTGGGACGGGGCGGTGTCGACCTGTGAGCAGGTTCTGGATGAACTCCGGCAGGCGATAGCTGACCGGTCTGAGCCAACCAAAGGCGACAAATAGCACCAGCAAGACCAAATGAATAGCAAGCAATGTCAAGGAGAATCTTTTGGATAGGAACACTTCTTCACCCACGAATCGCCAGTTGACAGTCCACTTGAACATAAACTGCCTGGTCAGCTCGAAAGCCCGCGAAACATATCCTGCCGGGTTTTCTTGTAAGAAGGGAATCGCCAATAAAACCTGTATTCTCTTTAGCATTGCACCTCTTCTGACATTGCACCCGAAGAACGGAACACGACGTAGATTGGCGGTAGGGTACATACCTGGACTAGCAATGCCACAACACCGAGCCTGATGCTAGGCCCGAGGGACAAACTCAGTACCGTAATCACTGCAACGGCCGGGGCCAGAAGTAACAGGGTCATCTTGATGCCCACCCCGACCGACCAAACGGCGACGGCCGCCGTCCACTTCCGGTTCTGGAACAGCCAAACAGCGAGCCACATGGCCAAGGCCGCCAGCCCATCATTGAAGAGGCGGAGGACGAAGATGCTGTGCAGCCGCTTGGACAGGACGAGGAGCGGCAGCAGATACGGCGGCGCACCGGACTGCCTATAGCACGCCAGCACGACGACGAGGGTCACCAGGTACAGCGCCGCGAACAGGACCTGGCCGAAGAAGATGTCCCGACCTTCGTCCGTGAGGTGGTAGAGGAAGCTGTAACTGTATACATGAGCGGCGGGGTAGACGAGCGGACCCGTGGAGCCTTTGATCAGAGTGTAGTCGCGCTCGCCGGCAAGATAGAGGGCTATCTGCTGCATGTACGTAGACCAATCGATCTCAGTATCTGCCGTGGACAGCGAGAGAGAAGGTTAGCTTCGGGAGGTTCATGCAAGCAAGTATGAAAGCCGAAGGAGAAACATACAAGGGATCTTCCAAATGATGAGGGTGCATAGGAAGGCGTCGCCTAGTAACAGAAGTGGAGCGAGCCATACTGTGTGTCTGGGATTCAGACACAGATCCTCGAAGAAGCGCATCCAATCCATCCTGGATGTTGTCGCAGGTGTGCATTGCAAATGCTTGGTGAGCTCAGCTTGCGACGCATGTGGCCTTAGTACTGGCCGGCCGGAGCGGGAGCCAATAATACCTGTCCTTTTTGGGCTTAGTGGTTCTTTCCACCCAGAACCCGCCGCGCCCGCCTGCTTAAGTTGCTAATTTACTCGTTAACATGAAGACCAGCAACGTCCAATTGAGTGTCAATTGTTCATATTCATATTGAATGTCAAAAATGATCCTATGTAGTTACACAAATCATGCCTGTAAGTACACTATCGATACAAAGATGGGTATATAACTGCCGTTGATGCGGCTGCTTTGGAGAGGCATCAAGCCCCCAGTCCGAAGCCTTCCCCCCGGCGACGCCAACAATATTGCTTCACTTGGCCAATTTCACAGTACAAGCCACGTTTCCTCCCTCTCAAGACGCTTCAAAGATTTCCCTGTAATAAACGTTGCAGTCACCGAGCTTCTCTCGTCGGTGGAGGTTGTGATGGTGTCTCCCCGCGATTCGTAAATCCCAATAAATCACCCAAAATGCCCTTCGGTTTCGGCACGGGGCATTGATGGCCCGCTTGCGACAGCTCAGCAGCCTCTGCTTCTAATTGGAGGAACGTGGAAACGTCTTCGTCGCTAGCCATGGGTGATTGAGAAAGGACTCTGTCCTCGGGGCCAAAGGGGTCCGCATCCTTGCGCTTCCTTCGTCGGACACGCGGAACCTGTTGTCCTTCGGCATTGACGGTCATCTCGGAGTCGGCGAGGGTGCGGCGGGGAGCAGGACAGGGGAAGACATGCGGAAGGCCGACGACGAAGAGGGATGCGAGGAGGGTGGCCGCGAAGAGAGAGCTCGTCGACCGCGAGCGAGGATGTAGATGAGGCGGCATTGTCGGGTGCTGTATTATGCAATTGGCCGGTTCTCAAGCAGTGAGTGGGCAGGGCTGCAGTGGCAGTGACTGTGACTGTGGGCGGGGACATTGCGTTAGTGGGTAAGATCGAAGCAAAGCACCCCAGGCAGAGACGTGGAACACATACCTGACAGCAAACGGAAACGAATTGACTCAATTGAGGGTTACTAGAATGAATCTAGAGAACAGCATTGCCCCTCGAAAAAGCAAGTCAAGCGCGAGACCGCACGGGCAACTCAGCAGGACTGGGGAAGAGGGGAGAGCGGAGGGGGTAGGGGGGAGGGGGGGGTTTTATGGGGAAGCTTGAATCATCGTAAGGTTTCTCGATTCGGGAAGGGAAAAGTTCGGAAATGGAAGAATTTGCCCGGAGCTTGACGATCAGATCTAATCTTATCTGCAAACCCCGTGATTGGCAAACAGCCAAGTCGAGCTACAATCAGCAGGAGTCCCGAGCAGCTGAGCAGACCTTCTCCATCATCATCACCACCCTCATCATCATCATCCGCCATCCATCTCCCTCAAACCCTCCACGCCCTTTCTCCCCACCCCCTCCCCACCTTCCTTCCTCGTCATACGATTAATTTCCAGCGCCTTTAGACGAAAAGATGAGCGTTCATTTTCTCTACACTTAGCTGTTGTTTTTCTTTAATCACTGGGCTTTTGCGGCTTGAACCAGAGTGAAACCGGTCCTCCATTCCTAGGACCTAGGACCCACCCCTCCCCCCTCCAGCTTCCTTCCTCCGACCCCAGTGAGCCTCATCCTTTGAACACTGTCACACCATGAGTGACTTAGACAGGTATTGCATACATTCTATCCTCTCGTTTTCTCTCCGATAAAATTCCCCGACCGTGCATATCCCACCTGCGCAGAAAAGAAAAACGAAAAAAAAAAAAAAAAACACATCAACAGCAAAAGTAAAGCGCTGACTTCAATCCTCCATCTACCGTGCAGAGCGATCGCGCAACTACGCGCTTGTCGTCTGATCCCCGAATCTCAAGTCCGCGAACTCTGCTACAAAGCGCGGGAACTCCTCATCGAAGAAGGCAATGTGGTGTGCGTGGACGCCCCCGTCACCATCTGTGGCGACATTCACGGACAGTTCCACGACCTGATGGAGCTCTTTCGCGTGGGCGGCGATGTGCCCGACACCAACTACCTCTTTATGGGGGATTTCGTCGACCGCGGGTTCTACTCGCTCGAATCCTTCCTGCTCCTCCTCTGCCTCAAGGTCCGCTATCCCGACCGCATCACGCTGATCCGCGGCAACCACGAGTCGCGTCAGATCACGACGGTCTACGGCTTCTACGACGAGTGCATCCGGAAATACGGCAGTGCCAACGTCTGGCGGTACTGCTGCGAGGTCTTCGACTACCTGGCGCTGGGGGCGCTGGTGCTGGGCGCCAGCTCAGGCTTGGAGCCCACGGGCCCCGCGCTGGAGACCACGTCGTCGACCATGTCGCTGGACGACAGCGAGCTGGAAACCGAGGTGCTGAACTCGCGCGGCGAGGTGACGATGAGCAGCTACCGACCCAAACAGCCGCGCACCGACTCGCCCCTCCTCCCCTCCCTCTCCCAAGACAAATCCGCCACGTCGTCCACCACCCAGACCCCAGCCTCCTCGATGCCACCCCTGCGATCCGGCTGGGCAGGCACCGGCGCCACCGGCGACTCCTCCGGCAGCTACGCCACCGGCACGGGGGCCGTCCTGTGCGTCCACGGGGGTCTCTCCCCGCTCATCGACAGCGTGGATAAGATCCGACTGATCGACCGCAAACAAGAAGTGCCGCACGAGGGCGCGATGTGCGACCTCCTCTGGTCGGACCCGGACGAGATCGACGGCTGGGGCCTCAGCCCGCGCGGCGCGGGGTTCCTGTTCGGGGGCGACATCGTGAAGCACTTCAACTACAAGAACGACCTGTCGCTGATCGCGCGCGCCCACCAGCTCGTCATGGAGGGGTACAAGGAGATGTTCGACGGCGGCATCGTCACCGTCTGGTCCGCCCCCAACTACTGCTACCGCTGCGGCAACGTCGCCTCCATCCTGGAGCTCGGCGAGGATGCCAGCAACGGGGGCACGGTCGCCCGCAGCAACGGCGAGTACGGTCGAAGCAACGGCGGTGCGGCCGGAGCGGCGGCCGTGACGCGAAGCCCCGGTCGACGGTACCGGGTCTTTGAGGCCGCCGCGCAGGATACGAGGGGAATGCCCGCGAAGAAGCCTGTAGCTGATTATTTCCTGGTACGTAGACGTCCCCTCCTTCCAAGAAACCTCCTCCACCCCCCATCCACCCCAGAGACTAATTTTCAAACGCCACAGTGATAAGTGATACCAAAGTTCTGCTCCATCTTATTAAACCATCCATCCTTCCATCTCAAACCAACCAGACATCACCCTCTCCTCGGCACCATATATACGCCTCACCTACTTACCTACCTAGCTACCTACCTACCTACCTATCTACCTACCTACCTCCTACCAATACAATACAACAAACTTGCATGGTCACGACCTTTCGTTCTCTGCGTTGCGTTGCGTTACGTTACTCATTCCGGCATTTCTTTCCATCTCCGCATGTGTCACTTCTAAACCTTCTGTATTTCTTCTCTCCTTTCTTCATATATCCATACATACATTCACATGCAATCTCGAGCTCCATCCATCGCCACCAGCATCTACAATTTCCAAGCTCCAAGCTCCAAGCTCCAAGCCCCTTTTTCCCCCCGCCAAAGAACCCCCACAGAACCCCACAGAAATGGAATTCCCAGGGAACCCAACCAGCAAATAAACTTCCCCTTGCCTGTTCCAAGGCATAAGGATCATCCTGCTGCCCCCCTCCCCAAAAAAAAGCACGGTATACTTCCTACGTCCCAGCACCCCACTGTACTGTACAAGATACAAGGATAAATCCAACCTCAGCCTCCCTCCACCAACCCAGCAATCGAATCCCCGGACCCGTCATTGCCCATCCAACAACTCTACGAACCAAACCCAGCAGCCCATTGCCCGAATTCCCTCGATCTCTGCTTAAAACCAAACAACATCCACGTAGACACGCGGACTTTGCTGGGGGGAAAAGGTTCCTTACTGGTCAAGCTTGAGCTATTCGATCATACACACGACGAAAGATATTCCTCGGGCTACATTACTCAGGAGTATTTGCCCCGCGCTACTAGCTTGCCTTTTTGGCTGGGTTTATGGATTGGGGTGCATGTATGTATGTAGGGCTGGCGGTATAGTGTCCTGTGCTGGGGCCAGGAGGGGTACGGAACTTGGAAGGGGGGCTGCATGCTCAGGCACTCACGCACAAAATAGCAGGAGGGGTAATTGGTTGGTTAGTAGTTTTGAGGAGTTGTGGTGGCAAATGTTGGGCTGAAAGGAATGAAACAACTACAACTGGAAGGGAGTTCGTTGGCTCGGACGGTTGTGGCTTGTGCTCAGACACCGCGTGAGCGTGAGTTGCCATGTAGACACAGAAGCCGTTGTGTTGGTGATTCGAGATCTTCAACCATACTGTCAATAAACAAACCAGTCTTGATTTTAATAAGGGAAAACCTTGGTATCTTATTAGGATGGAATCATGACTTCTAAACATCTAATGGACTATATAGTCATAACCGGAACAGAAGCGGTTAATAAAAAGAGGCCAGTGCTATGCCTCTTCGAGCCGTAACGACATGAAGCCTGCACTGCATCAGGTCCGAAACTTTATGTAGATCATACTGCCAATCCAGGTTCACTGCCTGGGGTATGCTTCCGACGTGGGCATGTTATTATAGCCAGGGACTGTGGGAGACTGGTCCGAATTACTGGTGCCAGATGGAGCTCCCACCGCAAATCTCATGGGTGGCGGCGGGTTCGGAGCGCTCTCTGGCGCCGACGTCTGCCCAACGTTCAATGGAAAACTGCTACCGGGATTCGCAGTTGATGCCCTGCCTGGCATGTTAGAATTCCAGTCTGGCACCCAGTTGTCCATTCCAAAGCTAAACCGGTGCGACTCGCGAGACCACCAATCCTGGCTTTCCTCCACCAGATTTTCCGAGCCACCATACTCGTTGGCCGGCGAAGTCGTGGTTGCCGGAGAATTATCCTGTGCAGACCTGAACGCACGGATATTTTCATCATTGTACCACATATCAGCCTGAGATATGGGAGTATTGCGGTATTGCGCATAGGCATGAGCGACGGGCCGGAGGTATGTCGGCTCAGGGAGCCGGGCGGGTTCTTGAGCAAGCTGGGCGTTCAAGGACCGCTGGACAGCACGCATAGCTGACGCAGAAACAGGAACGGGGAGATCCGGTAATATATGAGAACCCATTGATCCGACCGTGGTGGCCGGTGTTTTGTGCATGTAGTTGCCGCCGTGACCGCCCATAACAGCGTGCCGTGGCGGCATGGGTTGGCCGATTCCCCTGGAATTCGAATCAGGGTACGACATTGATATCGTTGGTGGGGAGTCTTCTGATGCCGGAGGAGACAGAGCCTGATCCCAGGAGCCCCAGGACCCCCATCGAACATGTGTATTCTCAAAAGTGGCGACGGCTTCTGCGGGCAATTCGACATGCCATTTGTTGGCCGAAATCTCGAGAATCCTGAGCGTACGGCGTGCGCAAAGCCAGCTTTCGCCCATTTCCTCTAAGTGCCGAACACCATGCACAACATCTCTCTGGGCATTCTTTTCAGGGAGATTCAATAGATGCACCGTAAGAGCGGTGTGAGCCATGTATACCGCAACGTTGCAGATCTGCTTGAATCCGTACGTGCGTTTATACATCCTCAAAAGTTTGGAGATGGCGGAAGCTGCTTGAGTGCAGAGCTTTCGAGGCGAGACATGCTGAGGAAGTGGAGAAGTGGACTTGGTGTACTTCAGGAACGGGCGATAGAGGTGTATAAGAAGGAGCTGGTAGAACATGCTTCAGAGCAATCAGTGATCGTGGGTCCGGTCAAACGAGCGTCTTTGACTCACTGCATGAGAAGCGCCTGCGGAAGCTGCCCGTCTTGGGGGCCGAGCTCCTTGGGCAAATCTTTCTTCCAGGATTCAAGTCTGGTGTGGATCTCACTGAGTTTCTTGAGCTCCGTTTGTTTAGAGGAAAGCTTGTCCTTAGGCTTAAGATCGTAGAAAAAGACAAGTAAGTCACCATTGATCTGACAGAGCTTAGATATCTGTACTGCGATTGCTCGGGTCCGCGAAGGCTGGGCCTGGTCCTCCGCGCCTCCAGCATCCGTATAGGATGACCACATTGCAGCGTCCTCGTTGGGGAAAATCTCCGGCATGGAGACACCAATGTCCCCAACGGTCCACTGCGGCTGGCGCCCGAGGTAGTTGGACCAGCATCTGAAGAGGTTAGTCTCATCAAGGTTTGAGGTGACGGTGCTACTACATACTTATCAAAGAGAAAACATCCCCAGAAAGTGATCCGACGCGCATCTATCTCTTCTTCGCTGAGATTGCGCACTCCAAGGCTGGTGGAGTCGAAGTCCAAGCCCAGGTCGGAAGCCATACGAAAACTCATTCCACTATAGACCCAACCTTTGCTCTCGCGCCCGCATCCAGCCTCACGTACAGACATCAGCGCCAATGCCTGGACGGTGCAGAGCTTCGCGTTCGCATGTTCATCGTTCTCGAAGAACAACCGCTTGGCTTCTTTGAAGAAATGATCGCCGGCCGTCGCCGTATTACCCGGGTCTTCACGAGCCCCTTCCCAAGAGCTGAAATGGCAGCCCAGCGCGAGCATCGTATTGACCAGCAGAGACGAGCAATACTGACTCGAAACTCCGCGAACATAATCCCGATAGAAAAGGTCCCTAGACAAAGTCGTGAAGAATGGATAATGCCAGGTAAAGTACATCTGCATAAGGTGACTTATGAGCTTCTCATCATCTGTGACTCTGGTCCAGTGTGACACCGAGGCGTCAGTACCCCGGCCCAAATCTTGGTGGTTCGCATTGGGATTGAATTCATTCAGCTCCGATCCGGGTGGTAGGTAAATGAGGTTGGAAGTGCCGCCAATGAGCTTTCGAGAGCCGTCCAGCATTAGTTCACTCATCTTGCCCGACAGCTCCGACTCGAATTGATCGGCCTCATCCCCGCTAGCGACTGGAGTGTCGGACGCCAGCGAAGGCTTGTTTTGCTGCCCAAGAATGGATTGCGCAACATCCTCCAAGTTGTCGCACGATCGAATCTGGCGGACCAGGTCGAAAGCATCCTCCTCTTCATAGTTGAGCAAAGCTTGAATCAGCGTCAACAAGGTGGCATTCTTCGTTCGCAAAGTGTCGGTGTCTTTCTTGTACACCCCTTTCCTGCGATGGTCCGAGTTTGGGTCATAGACACCTAGACGAGCACATCGATCAGCGTGACAAGCTAGTCATGAAGCGGACGGGTGACATACAAGCCGTGTGGTATACGGAAGAGCAGGCGGCACAACTGGGTAGGTTACCATCACACTGTGGCAATGGGTAAGCTGTAGAAACAACCGAGGAGGTCACCCGGGTCGAACCTTTGATTTCCTCCTGCGGCATGCAATACAGGCGGTGCTGACACAGCGCCTTTTCGAGGCCGAAGCATTGTCTCCCGCGGGTCCGTGACCACCCTTCCTTTGGGTTGAAGGGGCCGCGGTCATGTCTTGCGGCATCTCCGCGGAGCTGTCTACCATGGCTGTCAGGTCCACCCAGAAGTGTTCGGAGAAAACGTCGAGATGGGGCGGGGCATGCTTCTCAAGGGTGGGAGGAGCTTGGCGATCTGCTGGAGCGACAGGCCTTCATGGAAGTCTCGACACCGGTTGAATGGGGATGATAGGTCGAGCGCATCAACCGGCATAAGCGCCGCGGTGAACGGACGAATCTGCGGGGGAGGAAAAGACATTAGTTGGGATGTGTGCATAAAACCAGAGGGATGCCATTGGTGCAGAGGCAGGGGCTTGGTGTGCAGTACTGGGAGGCACAAGGATGTTGCCAGTAAGTTAGAGACATTGGGGAGATCACATGCCAAGCAATTCACTTACGAGTTAGTGAGAAGGTTCCGATTAGAGCCAGAGGCGCCACGCGGCGATTTGCATCAGATGGACAGATTGAGATGACCCGCAAGTGGAGGCGAATGGCCGTTGTGAGAGTCGCAAAAGGAGCTCCTCAGTTCGAGAACCTGGGGTGATGGGGAATCAGAAGCTGGGGAGGGGGGATAACAGGAAGACGATAAGAAGGTTAAAATGAGAGAGGGTGATTGGAGGATGCAAGGACCAGGATGACGATAGGACTGGGGAGGATGATGATGTCCGGGGGGGGGTGTGATTCAGATGATACCTCCAGGCTAATGATAGATCAATTGGCAAAGCAAAGCAGGGCGGCGATAAGCCAAAGGGACTGACTGACTGAATGAGAAAAGGGAAGGAGGGGAACCGCGGGCGGAGGGGGGGGAAAGCTTACTAATGCATTCTCTCTCTCTCGGCCACTCCATCAATAAACAATCCCTTAGAGAAATGAAGCAAATGTGACGTTGATTTAGTCTTCGGCTGATACACAGACACTGCCAGTCAGTCAACTTTCCTGGGTTCGATCCAATGCAATGACCGGTCAGAAGGCATCTCAACCATGGTCAATCTGGAGGAATCAAGGATGGAATCTGTCTCGTGGTGGTATTGTTTTCTGGCCATTGTTCCCGTAGATACTGAGCGGAAGGGAACCAGATGGAGACAGTGGTCATAGTGAACTGTATATACAGAGTACGGAGTACGGTATATGGATTTCATTATATTACTACTACTACTACTATTACTGTATATAAGGACAGTACATACTACATAGCACTATCCAACCCTCACATGTCTCAATATTTGGCCGGGACGATCTATCGATCCATCCTTCTCGTTAGGGCAGGTGCATCCGCTCTCTGCCTATATGGAGTCGTTGCTTAGAATCGAGTCACTGTGAGGATGCCATTGGACCAGACGGCGCAATCATCCGTGAGGGATGGATACAATATTAAAATCTACCTACGGTAGTCCCACAGGGAATTTCCCCCTTTGCTTTACCGCTCCTTCTCCGGTTTACGTGATTCTGTTGTTCATCGGCGGGAGGGAGTGGTTTGAAACTAGGGTTGCGGGCATTCTTGACGGGTTACCATTACTCGATGACTATTAGTCGTACTTAGTTGGACGGAGTATGCCGTGTCTCTAAGCGACGACTTCCACGACCTTGAGTTGACTTGAGTTGGTGTAAGCCTCGGGCAGGACCGCTGATCATCGTTCCGACCCAGAATGATTAATTCTGGTCGGACAGCTGCAGGCACCAGACCAGTGCATATATCGAAGTGATAGTTGTCGTCAGCATGACTTGCTTTACGAGCAGTCAGGGGTCAGCACGATGACCTCTTCGGGACGAGTCGTTCAACCCGCGCTTAGAGACGGATGCAGGATGCGCTCAGAGTGCAGCAGTGGTTTGAGGCATCTGTTCAGTGATGTGATGTTCATCAGATAGGGTAGTGTGGAGTGAAATGTCCACCGTTAGTGTAGTGTAGTGTAGAGTTAACATTAACTGTAGTGTGTAGTGTAGTGTAGTCGTTGGGCACACACTCTATCTCTCTATCTCTCTGGTCGGTAAATTGGAAATTGAAACTTACTGTGTGGTCCAAAAAGTACGTAAGCCGCGGTAAGATGGAACATTCTTCGGGTGCCACTGGTGGGGACGGGGGCATTCTTCGGCCGCGATCCAGCCCAAACGACTTACGTGATGGGTTCCAGAACATACAGTGAAACGAGGGCCATACCGGACTAGTACTTTTGAGTGGTATGGTATGGTCCCGGCAGTCGGCATCCGCCCGCCCTTACCGCCTGAAACGGACCAGCCTCTTTCGGGACAAAGCGGTGAGCGCCTCACTGTTAGTGTTGGGAAAGACAGAAAAGAAAGGAAACTGCCGACTGCCAAGAGTCTCCTTTTCTGCAAGCGGGTTTCTTATTATGCGATGTGAATTACGGATGCCTTTTTTTTTTCCCACTGCCTGATTGGGAGTTAGTGCAACTCCGCTGGGACCCGATGTTACGGGACTAAGGCTGAGAATTACCATCTCCCGTTTCTTATCGTTGTCGACTAGAGACTCTCTCATTGAGATCATTACTACGGAGTATGTCTTTTCGCCTTCTTTCTTCATCGCTCCCTTCTCTTCTCTTCTCCCATCCACCTCCCCCCCCCGATCTTCCCACCTTTTCAACTCTCACTTAAGACTACATACATTACACTCTCTTCTTTCTCATCCTTTTCCTCTTCTACTCTCCCCCTCATCATTCTTCACACCCGCCTCTTTTCCCTATTAGTACACCTGCCAGTCGCGTGCCTGCAGACGCACCCGGCCGTTCTTCCGCTTTTGGCTCCCGCTCGAACTGGGGCTCTTGGACGTATCGGTGACTGCCCCAGTGCCCACTGCCAACACAGCACAGCACAACAAAAGCGGATACCCTTATATATCCTTCAGCGGAGTCCACTCTTCCGCTGGGAGAGGTGTCTATCGGACGCTTTTCTCTTTCTTCCTTCTGGCCCTCTTTCTATTTATCCATGTATATCGCTCAGACGCTCGATCAGAGTGCCTCGTCTGGCCTAGGCCGTCTTATCAAACTACTATCCTTGTCCTGTGAAACGAAACCGATCCCCACGAACCTGTAAAGATGATGGTCCCCAGAGCATTTCTCTTTAGCTCGGTGTCTTCGCCGTTGAAGGGGGCGAGAAGCGAGAAGACTCCGGGAGTGCTAGGCCTTCAGGGTATTGAGGGCCTCGAACTGCCCTCCGACGCCGACATATCTTCATCGACGATCCCCTCCAGCCCCGTCGTCATCCCTCCGAAACGGGGTCCTCGCATGACCTCCGTACACTCGCAAGCGGCGAACAAAGGGCCCAGGACCCCACGCAAACCGAGAACCCTCACCCCGCAGTCCTCGTCGGGGACGCTGTCCGATCGGCCGGTCCCCAGCTCCATCGCATCGATCCTGGAAGCGACTGCGATCCCCGTGCGCCGACGGGGTGTAAGCGGACGAGACTCTCGCCGGTTACCGCGGGGGAACCATGTGCAGGATTTCAGCAAGCTGTTGTTGGACGGGGTGGGCGACCACCTGATGGACAGCACGGGCAACACCGCGCTGGATCTCCTGCTGAGTCCGCCGGATGACACGGAGCGATCGACGGTTGGCAGCGACTGCGACAGCGAGGCGCCGTCGTTCTCCGCGTCCTCCATCTCCATCGCATCCACGCCGTCGCTCGACCGGGACCTGGACTCGCCGCCCAGTCTGCCTACGCCTCCGACCCCGTCCAGCCAACGAAGCCCCCTAGACCGTAGATTCCTGCGCTCCCCGGCCTGCGAAAACTGCGCGTTGGACCACCCGCTCCTCGAAACAGAGGAGTGCAGCTCCGAGGACGAGCTCGACATGGAGGCGTTCCTGGCGGCGGCCACGGTGCCGGCGGCGGCGGCAACCAGCCCGACGCCGTCGCGATCCTTCCCCCGGCTCGGGGCCACCTTCAAGTCCAACCTGACCGCCTCGCTGCGGGCGATCAAATCGGCGGCGCAGACGGTCTCCACCTTCGCGACGCCCTCGGTGCAGCCGGACGACTTCCTGACGCGGTCGGTGTTCACGATCACGCCAGAGATGACGGACGACCGACGGCCTCCGCCGATGCACGAGCCGCCCTCGCCCGCGCTCCGCCGGTACTTGAACCCGATCACCCTCTCCCCGGCCGAGATGTACGCCTATCAGGACTACCACCCGCACGACGCGACCCTGGACGACGCGGGCGCGAGCCCGGTGGTCTCCGTGCAGATGCAGACCTACCGGCGCGCGGGTAGACGCGGCGGCGGCCACCGCGCCAAGCATCCGCATCATCCCAAGCAGCCCCTCGCGGGGTCCGACCCGGAAGGCCCGCCGATGACCCGGCCCCGGGAGCCGCGGGAGAACAGCGACTTCCTGCGGATGGTGGTGCTGGAGATGAACATGCGGCGCAGCGGCAAACTGCGGGACGATGTGCCGACGCGCGCGCGCATCTGGCTGCCCGCGCGGAAGGGCGTGCATCAAGCCCGGGTGCTGCGCTACGAATGCTACGAGGAGGAGGACGAGAATGCGGTGCCCTCGCGATGGGTGGGGGTTTCCGTTGAGAGCTTGTAATTTTTTTTTATGGAGGTGTACATAGCGGTTGCTTTTTTGCTTTTTTTTTGGCTGTTTTTGGGGCTGGAGTTGGATCGGGCATACATCGGCGTTTTCATTTTTGGGGGGAAAGATTGGGGCACGGAGCATTCCTACATCAGTTCTATACCTAGCTTACACCTATACTTAGCTTACACACCCTACATATACAGACAGACAGACAGACAGACAGAGACAAAGACAGACAGACTTACATTCCATTGATACCTCCTCACAGAAGTATAGAGAACTGTCCAGTCCACCCCAAACCCAGTCCATATCGAACTAGCTGCACCAGCCCATCAGTCTAAACCGCGGATAAAACCCCCCATCCCAGCCAAACCACACTAACACCCACACTAGCCCAGCACTAGCACGAGCAGCTGCAGCCATTTCCGCCCCAGCCCAAACCCCGTCGGAGAGCAACCTAACCCAACCTTGTTTTCCAGCGGAAATAGATTAGGTGATTCAATCCAGGAGGATGGGGGATGGGGGATGGTGATCCGAGGGTGATCCGAGGGGGGTTCAACCCCGTAGGCTGCAGTGCAGTGCAGTGCAGTGCATCTACTCTGTAGACTGATCACTGTTAATTTAGTTTAGGTTGGTTGGTTGGTGGCAGGCCGGGGGTAACCAGTGATAAGGCGGGGCCGTAAGTGATAAGAGACGGGCTGCTCTCCAGAATATATGCCTGAAGAGGTAGGTAGAGAGATAGGTAGGTAGGTGAGACAGCAAATCTATGATCTTGCGGGCTGATTACTGGGACTGGACATCCACACGGGCCGGGGAGGGGAGGAGAGGAGAGCGAGAGAGAGAGATCGTGAGAATGAATGCGGTGTTATATGCTAGGTTAATATGTTCGGTGTAGACAGGAACGTTCACAGCTGCAATGGGGGCACTGCTCTCGCACGTGGTCTCTCTAGAAACACTACCGGGAGTATAGACACACCCAAGTTCTTACCCCCCTGATCAACTCCACGATATACTTCGATGTGACCAGAGTCTCCGTAGAACCACCCAGATCGGGAACGGCCATCAACTGCCCCAATCAACAAATGAACAATGAAACAAGTACGTTGGCCCGAGGTCAGAAATGACATACCACTCCCCCCCAAACCAAGAATTCTACTCGTGAAGACAGGACAGACAAGCAAGATGAATGACGACATCTAATTTTTAGTGAATCGTAATTCCGGGGGTGGCAAAAACCCGCCTTGCCAGCTCCAGCTCCAGCTCCAGCTCCAGCTTCAGCTCACCCCAAACCCAAACCCAAAGCCAATAAATAACCTTCATCCTCAGATGACGATATCAAGTATCATCATTCGCCTCCCTCATCTCCCTCCGTCCGCCGTCCAGCGACAGCCACAGCCACAGCCACAGCTACAGCTACCACTACAGCCACTATCGGTGGTAAGTTAAGTTAACTTAACCTCAGTTAACTAGTTAGGTGGGGTGACAAACCGCGTAATTTGCAAAACCGCCGTCCCAAGCCCCGGATATTTTCCCCTGCATTATCTTGTCGTCGACCAGGTGGTCTAGGGTGTAGGAAGGTTAAGTTAAGTTTACTCGCCCTTCTCTTGATCTCATTCTTGCTCTTGCTCTTGTGATCGAAGGGGCTTATCTCTGGCCAATCGGAGAGATGGATGGCATGGGGTTCAACGTTCAAGGTGTTCCGAGCCCTGGCCTGCCCACTGGCACGGCAGGGCAATTTGGTTGCCTGTTTCGGATGGATGGATATCATACCTACTTCCTACCTGCTGTATTCGTCAGTGGTTGGATTGGGAACTTAGGAGGGTGTAGATGCCCGGACCGTACTGGACCAGTGGAGTGTGTGGTTGAGAGGATCAAGTGGTCACCGTCACCATTCAGCGTCGATCACCGCTCATAACCACTCACAGCATGGCTGGCTTACGGCCGTGGAGCAGTGCGCGAGGTCCTACCTACCTGCGAAAACAAAGGATAAATCAATCAACCGCATGAACCCAGCCCAGCCCAGCCCAGCTGTCATCCGGGATCGGTGTAACAGGCCTCCCCCCCCTCCCAAACCCAGCACCGGACTGGTCAGAGATAAGCTCGAAGCCTTGTCTGGGATTCCGCGGGCGATCAGTGGTGCTCTGCACTTCCTTGTATACACTGAGTGATCATTAAGTATGGTATGCAAGGCAACCCCCCCCCCCCCCCCCACCAAGTAAATATCTAAACATTACCACCCATACACACACCAAGAAGGCAGGCCAGTGACTCAGAGCGCGCGAGCGAGACAATAGATACGCGCCCTGCCCGGCACAGGGACGGACACGGTGACGGTGACGGTGACGGTTCCACCAGATACATCCATCCCTGAGCACGTACGCCTCGTAACCACCAGATAATAATTTAGCCCCC